CTCTCTCTCTCTCTCTCTCTCTCTCTATGTCTCTATTTTTTCCTTTCTTTCTCTCTCTCTTTGTTCGTCTCTGTCTCTCCTCGGCCTTCCTCCTACTTTTTCTTTTTTTAATGATTTTCTAGGCTACCAGCGGAGCGGCCCGGTTCCCGGGTGGTCTGCCCGTGCAAGGACAAGGAAAGGTCCCCCCCCCCCCCAAAAAAAAAAAAATCCAAAAACTCCAAAACAAAACTATATTATGCAGAAAAATAAACCGAACAACTTTTGCCTCAGGGTTATACCGAAATCCTTCATCAAATTTATGTATTATTATTATTTATTTATTTATTATTATTTTTTTTTTTTGGCTCGGTCGGGCAACTGACCCCGGGCCACTCTGGTAGCCTAGATGATTTTTCAATTTGTCACTTTTTTTATTCATCAGTTAAACTCAGACTTCGTAGCCAACTTTGGGCTATTTTTTATTACCCTGTGATTCAATTTTTTTTTATTTTTAAGTCTGTTTGAGTTTATGATGGAAATAGGGTACAGGAGCAGCGGAGATGGTGGCTCTACTGCAGTAAGTTTTGTCGGAGTGAGGTGCAGAGGATGGATGGGGGTTCCTGAGCCGTTTCCTGAATTTTTGCCTAGGTGAGTGGGAAGGAGTAGATGGTGGGATATCAAGCGTCCTACTAGCGAGGGGCTAGCTGGTAGGATGGAAATAGGGTACAGCAGTAGCGGAGATGGTGGCTCTGCTGCAGTAAGTCTTGCCGGAGTGGGGTAAAGAGGAAGGACGGGGGTTTCTGAGTCTTGTTCTGAAATTTTTCTGAATTTTGTCGTAGTGATTTCTTGATCTAGCTTCAATTTTTCTTAGCCAAAGCCGGGTAATGGCCCCGGTATTTCAAACTTTCAAACTTCCAAATTCAAGGTAAATTTCTATATGGGACGCTGGGCCCGGTTCCCAGCACGTGCTGCTCCCCACGAATAGATTGGAGCCTTGTTCCCATTAAAAAAAAAAAAAAGAAGAGAAGTTTATGTGAGTGGTCTGTGTCATGTTCCTTACAACATTTCTTATTTTTGCGGGCATAGCCCGCACTGCCCGCACCGCGGGCGCTTAGCTAGTGTCTCCTTATCCTTCCCCTAATGGGATAGTGTCCAAAAGAAAAAAAAAATGAAAAAAAAAGGGACAGTGCGCCTGGAATTAGCTGGCCCAGTCACTTGCGGTACGCCATGCCCGTGGTCTGGGCCCACATGGCGAGAGTCTAGAGATATATAATATCCGCTGTACGGCTGTTGACTGGGCCGGGTAATTTCTTTTTTTTGTTTTAAAAGGGCGATGGCCTTGAGGTATTATCATCGGACTAACCAACCCAGGTAAATTCAATCTTGTGTCTAATCTGACACCGGGTGGCCTTTTCGGCCTAGGGTGGCCTGATAGCCTTCACGGAACCCTCTACCGGGGAACACCTGCCAGGGGACAGCCAGTAGCAGAGGGACCGAGCATCATCGGAGTCGCAAGTCGCTGTGCCTCCCTGAGTACCCCTCCCCCTATGAACATCAGCAGAGACTGCCTTTCTAATGCCACTTGGGGGGACTGCATACAAAGGATGTTGAAGAAGAAGAAGGAAGAAGGATCGGAGGATGTGGCATCGCCCAAACCTGAAGATCGTGAACCAGAAGCAGCGCGAATAGCTGCAATTTCATAAGCGGAGAAATATCACTTCGTGAGAGCTCGACCAGTGCTGTGGAAAAGTGTTGAATGTGATTGCGAAGTATGGGGCAAACCCTTGAACGCTCTCATCGATACCGGCTCCTCTGCGGTCGTTATATCGTTAAACACGGTAAAAAAAATGGGCCGACTCAATTCGATTCTCCCTCAATCTGGCAAAGACCATTATGTCTCTGCCGACGAGGAAGCAATGAATATTGTAGGAATCATCGAGAATGTGGCCGTGAAAGTTGGACGAGTACACGCCCTCGTTAACGCTTTAGTCATAGACGTGCACTCATATTCGGTGTTGTTGGGACTGCCTTGGGCAATGGCAGTAGGAGCCCGACTGCATTTCGATTTCAAACAGTTGGTGCTCACACAAACAGGAGGGAAGCCTCAGACAGTTTCATTGCGGGTTTCAACCCGAACAGTAAGACAGAATCCTAACCCTGCTCGAATAGGGATGATTCAAGGTCCCGATCACAAGGAATCTTCCTCCCCGGATGATAGTAGCAGATTCGAAGAACAGGAGTACGAGGAAGAAATGCCTAGCGAGAGTGAATGAAAACATTTGGTCGAACTTTTCGAACACGAAAACCCCGAGGAGTTTCGGATGGTTCCCAGAGCCGCCCGAACTTTCCACTTGAGTGTGGAAGACAGCGCGCTCGCACCCATAGAAACCCAGGTCATTCCTTCGACTTTCCTCGGAGAACCCATCTTGCAGATATCTGACCTGGCAGACGATTTGGAACCCCCTCGCACCTTGTGCGAGGGAACACTTTCCCTTCGAGCCCGCTACCAACAGGCGAAACAATACTTGGATGTCTCTGTTTCCCCCCCAGGAACACTACTTACGATAAGAGCGACCATCGCTCTGATTAAACAAGAAGTCGAAGCTCCTATCGATGATGTGCCCGATCTAATGCAGGAAATGGTGGATCTACCGAGACTAACAGTAGAAGGAACCTCGACTGATTCGGAAACTGACGCTGAAGCTAAAGAGACAGAGATGATTAGCCCCGCTGAATCCCAAATGATCGCAACTGTATTTTCTGTCCGCACTAGCAACTCTATTTTCTCTAGCGTACATGACCGACGGGATCGGCCTGTTGATTGGATCGATATGCCTCTTGAAATACATGATCGACCGACTGTTTCTCTGCCCGATCACGTTCCTCTGGAATTTTGGCAATCACTAATTAACGTCTTGAATGGGTACGTTGAGGTATTGAGTGTGCGCGATAACGATATCGGGCTGTCTAATGTAATCGAGCATGCCATCCTAACGGGGGATCATCCACCCATTACCTGCGTTCCCTATCGCTACTCGCCAGCCCAACGGGCGACCGCATTTCAGCGGAGCAAGGAATTTGAAGCTAATGGATGAATCGAACCCGCAATAGGACCTTGGTCGTTTCCTGTGGTGATAGTGCCCAAAAAGGCCGGAGGGATTCGCATATGCATCAATTATCGAAAGTTGAATGATATCACGATCAAATATGTGTATCCCCTTCCCCGGATTGATGAGTTGTTGGATGCGATTGGAAGTGCTCAATTTTTCAGTAAGTTTGATGTGCGGCATGAGTTTTATCACCTTCTTGTTCAAGAGGAGGATCGTCTGAAAACGGCGTTTGTATTATTTGAAGGAACTTGGCAGTGGGTTCGTTGTCCGATGGGCATCTGCAACGCTCCAGCAACCTTCCAACGAGCCATGAATATGGTTTTTCAGAACTTTGTACGGAAGACACGACTGGCGCAAGGCATCATCAATTACTGTGTAATCGTGTATATGGATGATATTTTGGTCTATTCGAGTTCTTACGAAGGGCACGTGCAGCACATCAAATGGGCACTACACTCTTTGAGAGATGCTGGATTCAAGGTGGCGCTGGAAAAGTGTTAGTTCTTTCTCACCACTATTTCCTTCCTGGGACACGTGGTGACCGACCAGGGACTCAGACTGGAACCACAAAAGGTGGCAGCCGTGAGAGACGCGCCTGTGCCCACGACTATCACTTAAGTTCGCGCCTTTTTGGGTCTGGCCTCATACTACCGAAGGTTTATTAAGGGCTTCGCAGCTATTGCGGGTCTCCTCACGAATCTGCTGAAAAAGGATCAGCCATTGATCTGGACGCCAGAGTGTGACCATGTGTTCTCGAAACTCAAGGCAACCCTTATTTCGGCCCCGGGTCTTATAAGACCGGATCCTGTTAAGCCTTTTGTTCTCATAAGGGAGTGTCAGCCGGAGGCAATCTCAACGATTTTGGCCCAGGTGGGACCCGACGGACTCGAATGCGTGGTGGAATACGAATCTAAGTCGGTGCCTGCTTGCAAGCGCAATTACGCCGCCCCGACAGGTGAATGCTAAGCAGCTCTGTGAGGCATCAGCCACTTTCGAGCCTATTTGTATGGGCGGAAGTTCACACTGGTCACCGATCATGAGCCATTATTAGCCCTGAAGAAGTCGAAGGATTACTCGGGCATGATCGGGAGATGAGTGACAGTGCTACAGAGCATGGACTTTGACATTCGTCATCGGAAGCACGAGAGGCACGGGAATGCTCACGGGTTGACACGACTACACCGACCCGAGAAGGTCCTCAAGAGCGAAGAAGTGATTCTGTGGAACGAGCCGAAGGAGGAGAGCGTACCTCGATACGGACAGGTGGAAATTCTGTCAAAGGAGTGAGTGACACGTAGCCCCGCTTTGACCTCTCTGCAGCCCTGATCACTTTCTCTCCTCCTCTCTCATAATGGCTACCCCACCTGTCTCCATGACCCCTTCTTCCTCTGCTGACTCCGGCCCTCTCGCCAACTCGGCCTTCTTTGCCACCCTTCCCGACAAATTCGGCTATTTTTGCACGTGTATCACACGGGTATATGGGGTGAATTGCCATCCTTTTGAGACCGGATTCGTTGAGTGGGTAAATTGTGCCATGTGTGTCAATCGTGCACATGGTGCATGTGTTCGATATCGAACAAGTAGCAGGGAATGGAAATGCCTTCTATGTAGGACGGACAAATTGCCTACTGAGGTTCGATTCGAGGCTGCCCATACGGACGGCCCTGAATATGACGAGAAATACCGACGAGCGGAGGTATCGACGGATAAAATCCTATTGGCTAAGCTGGCTGGGTTACCATTGGATCATCTCACTAAGCACGACAGACGTCGGGCTACTGAGAGATCTCGGGATTACCGCTGGATTAACGGTCACCTAGAAAAGCGTAAAACTGACGGATCGGGTTTGTGGTTGACGGTTCCCCATCCATTCCAGAGATATAATTGGACCCGATCTGCTCACGAAGGACAGGCCGCTCACGTGTCACGGAGGCAACTATAGATCAGAATCGATGGTTCTGGTCTAATATACGGGTCGATGTCAGATACGTAGTCGCCAACTGTCTGGTTTGTGCCGCCGATCGTGCCCCAATACGGGGACCAAACACGATAGTACCAACAGAAGTAGAGCGTCCTTTCCAGCGAGTCAGTATGGACACGACAGATATCGACGTACCTCCTGGCCCAAATCGTTGCGAATATTCCATTCTTTTTGTTTTAATAGACCATTTTTCCAAATACATCGAAGTATACCCCTGCAAGACCCGTAAGGCCGCAGAGATAGCCACGTACATCGATCGGTTTCTCTATACTCACCTAGATACGGAAGAAATTTTAATCGACAATAGGTCCGAGTTCAAAGGTGAGGTAGAAGAATTACTCGCACGAAGAGGCATTACGCTTCGACACAGGCCACCCCACGTTTCCCAGTCGAACGGGTTGGCCAAAAATGCCAATTGCATGATTAAGACTGCCCTTCGTAGAAACTTAGCGGCGCGTGACACGCGTCCCTGGCCCAAAATCATATACCAAATCGTCGGAATTCACCGGGCCACCCCACATGAATCCACGGGGTTCACCCCCTTCCAACTTCAAACCAATAGCCTCCCATGTGTCGATTACCGGGGCAACTCGGAAATTGCTGAAGCAGGGGGTAGAGACACGCATGCCGCCCTTAAGTCCAAGGCCAAAAGGTATGCCGATTTAATGGAGTGGGCCGTTCCGAAGCTAGCCCGAAAAAGACAGAAAATGACCGATCTAGCCCGCGGAAGTCCGTAGCTACAAGGCCCGAAATGGGAACGCCGGTCCCCAACATCAATATAAATTAGGGGATCTGGTACAGGTACGTAAATGTGCACGCGGATGAAAACTCGCTCCCAAGTTTTCTGGCTGCTTTCGCGTTGTTGAGCTCGGACCTAACGGTGCCAACACGGTGCGCATCGTGCTCGAGGCAAGCGCCAGCCATAGCTCCGTCCCCATCGTCCGCCATACTTCTTACATCCGTCTCCTCCCTCCCTCTTACATCCCTCCATCCCCCTCATCTGTTGAAGAAGAGGACGAAGACGATCTAGTTCCCGCCTCGCTCTCTCCCTCCGGCTCCCCTCTCTCATCTTCTTCCCCATCCTCGCCATGAGATTCATCACGGAGCGAGCTCTTGGCGATCATCTACGGCAGCCACGTGGCTACATCTCTGAAATCCGGCAAGTTCGTCACCCGCGGCTCAGTCCTGATCTGCGAAGGGTAGCGCAGTTTTTCTGCACCGAGGGAGTGTATGCTGCTGCTGCGTTCCGATTCGCCGGGAGTCAGCAGACAGTAATATTGGCGAAGGTGGTGGCACTTCATCGACGGGCGGCTCCCGAGACGAGCCATGTAACCACGGTCGCTGCGTTCAGCGGCGACATCAGTACGATCAGCCCACTGCGACATACCGCGATCTTGACCTCCTTGCGAGAATGGACGCAACAGCTGTCAACTGAGTGGCATCACGGTCTTGCGCGTCCAGGATACAGTCTAGTCCCGACATCTGGGACGGACTTCGACGTTCGCACTTCTCCGCGCCAGCCGACAGTCGTGCTCCCCACCCTCATTCCCTTCTAACGCCCCCAATGAACCTTGCTGCTGCTCTCGCTTCTCTCTCCACCTTTGGTCTCCCCTCTCTCTTCCCCACCTTCTGGCAATCCGATCTCCATCCTCGCCTTTCTTTCTTGCTCGAGCCTCTTGTCGTCCCGCTCCTTGATCCAGGGCATTGGTAGGTGTGGCGCGAGACCTTTGTCGATTTGTCCGTGTGCTTGGCCCGAGTTCAGGTGACGTGGACGCGGACCAGCGAGCATCCTGCGTGCATCGAGTACCTGGAGTTGTTGATAATCCAGGCTTGGAGAACGAACGTGGAAGGTGATCTTCTCGGTTTCCTCTTCGGATCGGTGCGGCTAGGCAATCGCCAGCCAACTACTCAAGAACTCGTCGTCCCACTCGCGCAACTGGATGATAATTTCTCCCTCGACATCGTTTCGCAAAGCGACGACAACCCCGCTCCGCACGTCATCACGCGGGCATTAGCACCGTATCTTCAGTGGACTGCTTGCTTGGAGGAACCCGGGAGTGACAGCACCTTGCCATCGCGGCAGGAGTACTTGAAGCCATACCGGATCATCCATCGCGCCTTCTATCCGAGGGAAGAGCCTGAGGAGGCGCTCGAAGGAGAAGAGGAAGCCACTGAAGAAGAGGGCGACGCCGACGAGGAAACGGTGGAGGAAGGAAGTTACAGTGAGTACAGCGAAGGGGAGCGGAGTGAAGAAACGGAGGAGGTAGAAGGAGAAGAAGACGAAGAGGAGAAAGTCGGATCGGAGTGGGAGGATTTGTCGGAAGAAGCGGTACGCACAGGCACGGAGGCAGAAGATCCCGAAGCAGCATGTAGAAGGGAAGAGATCGCCGCCGGGAAAAAACAGCTGGAGATCGCCAGCGGGGCGATCTTGTGCATCAACGACGATCCAACCAGAGATCCAGAGCCCCCCGAGCCCGAAGATGGCGGATCAGCAGCCGCAGCTCCGAGCGCATCGCGACGAAGACGGAGCCGATCTCCCTCCCCCTCCTCCCCAACCCGTCCCCCCAGTTCGTCCACGTACTCGTACTGATGCGGGGAATCGGCCTTCGTCCCCGGTCATTATCCCGTCGTCCCCTTGATTACCTTACCCTCTTCCGGATTTCTACCCCCGTCACCTTCCCTCACAACCCCTTTCGTCCCAATACCTTCCGCCACTTTTACTCCACCCGTCTTGCCGTCACCGTCCATCCCCACCCTTCCCCTCAATCCGTGAACCCCACGTTCTGTCTACAAGTCCTCTTGTTCAGTGCCGCGTCAGAACAGAATAACGCCGTAGAAGTCTACTGCGTAATCACAGGGACCATCCCCGCGTATCGCCATCACAAGCAGTTTCGCGTGGCACTCTTCCGCACTTTCTCCACCCTTTACCCTGACTACCTCGCCTCCCTCCTCCACAATGGCGATCGGTTTCCCCGCTTTCACCGGATCATCTGCTACGAAGAGCTCCCAATCACAGAGGAAAGGATGAACCGATACTTACCCCCACTCCCCCCCAACCCTCCCCGTCGACACCCCCCCATGTACAATGTCTACTTACCCATTCCCACACGGCGTTGAGTGCCACGTGTCCTCCGAGCGGTACGAATCAGCAGTTTCGTGAAGATCACGCCATTGACGGTGACGTCAACTTGTGCTCTGATTCGATCGACTGCGCTGGACTAGGGATGCAGAGCACACGGAGATGTGATGGACCATGATGGTGCCACTTGGACGATCTTTGAAGTTGGAAGGACAGGGGGTTGCATACGACAGGGCTGCAGAGAGCGGGATCCGAAACCGCACGAGCCGGCATGTTTCACATAGATCTTGCCACGGATGTTGTCGCCAGCTCATCATGCTGATCCAAGCTCCTGGTTCGTCCTGCTTCTTCGTTCCTTGTACTTCTTCTTGCTTCTTCGTCCCCTCACATTCCCTTTGTTCGAGCTTCCATGCAATCAGGAGATCGCATAATTTTGGAACCCCCTACGCGTCACATATGTGACGAACCATTTCCCAACCCCGTGCTATCTTTCGTACCCCCTTGACCCAATACCCCCTTTGTGTATCATACCGACCCCACAGAACCCTCGTCGCTTTTCTTGATTTCAGGCGCCTTGTTTGGGCCCCCATTTTTTCAGAAGTTCTATTGATTCTTGGAATTCTGCTTTTTGTAATTCGGAAAAAGCACAGGACATTTCGCGCGCCTTAGCGAGCGCACTGAGAATCGGGCTCGACAGTTAGGAATTACGGAACAAGCTGAGCCTGACGTATCTTTTTTTTCTAGCATGAATGTTCTCGGTCACGTCGGAGAAAGCTCTAGGAATTTTGTGAGAATACGGATAGGCATAGGATTTTCTTTTCCCGCGTAGACTTTCGCGCGCGGATATGTTGATTTCAATTTTTGAATTGGTATAGGACATAGGTAAGCCATAACTGTTTTGGAGCCTTTTTTCTCTTGTTGTCAGCACCGCGCATGCGAGCTTCCTCCTCCTTGTTTCTCGCGCACTTCTTCCCCCGCGCTCTCTTCTCTCTTCCTCCCCCCCCCCCCTTCCCTTTTCTCTTCTTCTCCTATCGGAACTGTTTTTTTTTCCCTCTCTATCTCTCTCTCTCTCTCACTCTGCATTTTGCGCGCCTGTTTCCCTTTCTTGATCGTCTGAATCTTGGACCCGTCTCGTGCTGCTTTTCGCGCCTTGACTCTTCTCGCTCATCAACCTTGGCTCACGAAGTCTGGTTGATCCTCCGATCACCCCGGCTCACCAATCAGACGCGGTGAGTAAGAGGATCTTCCTATTGCGCGATGAATCTGATTGGCCGACCATTGGGTTATGAAGGATCAACATGGCTTCCCCTGAGCACCCTTCGCTAAACCTCCTCTCCGTACACCTCGACCTCCCCTCTGACTCTTCCCCCATCTTTCTCCTTTCTCGCAACTATAAATTCCGCAAACGCGCCCACAAATCTCTCTTATGTTTTCCACTCGCAAGCCAGTTTCCGGGAAGCAGTGGCTAGGTGATGCGTTTGGTGCGAGTCAAAAAGTCCTGTCGGGCTGACGCTAGTCTGGCCGGTTGCGCGATTGATCGCCACGACGGACTGTGGGATCAAGGCGAGCCGAGTCGAGTCTGCGTCAGCGGGGTGAGGATCGCAGTGGAGGAAGTTAGCATGCGACGGCCGGGATTGTCGGTGCGGGTATGAGGATTTGTGATTTCAGTTGAGTGGATGATTGGCCCGGGGTCATATTGGAAGTTTACGGCGAATGCGCCTTCATTGCGGATTATTTTTCAGGTGTGAGTTCATGACTGTGAAGTCGAATGCTCTCTTGTCGACTTCTGGTGTCTTCTGTCTCGGCTTTTCTCGTCCATCCCTCCCATCTCTCTCTCTCTCTCTGACCTAAGTGACGATGCATTGTTGGTTTGTCCTTCTTGTGAACAGAAGCGAATTCTCGAGAGTTCTTGCGAGGAAGAACTTCTTCCGAAACTCTTCCATTAGTTTCCTGGGTAATCCCCTGATGCCGAGGACTTAATCCTCTTGTTTTGTGAACGGTGGATACGTGTGTACAGTTCCCCCGGTTGATTTTTGACCTATGCATCCTTGTCATCTTCACAGCTTCCACAGTGGATGTACATATAGAGATGCTTGTCTTTTTGCGTTGATTAGACTCAACGGGATTTTGTTCGAGAATGCAAGAGTGTTTAGATTTGTGATTCTTAATGCACTGCGCATGCCATCTGCCTTATGTTGTACGACATCAACAGGTCGTCGGTGAGGCAGCCTCGAAAAAGCTAGGCGCCTTATGTTTTTGGTGATCGGGTCTGTTGAAACTGAGTCGCGGGTTGATCCCTCGGAACTCACACCCGATCAACGCACGATTGTGCGGGTTCCACAAGCTACTTCCCTCGTGACCCGGGGAAGGAAGGTACTAATTAATTCTTCTTGTGCTTTTTGATGAGGTCTCGAGGATTTACGTTAACTTCTTCCGATTGATTGACATGTGGGCTAACGATCGTTCCTCGATCGGGCGCCAGCCTTCCGTATCTCCCTCGCCGACGCGCCCCTTCCCCTACAACAAGGCAAGGACACGTGTATGCAAGTGGGACGTATGGGAAGCTGTCGCATGCATCGACGGGCAATATTACTTCCCTCCTGAAAATCGTTGTTCCGAGTTCGTGGATGCGGGCTTTTTCATTATCGATACGCATTTTCCACCTTACTCAGTATTGTTGCCATTTAACGAGCTGATCGTCATTCCGTGGACGGCAGTGGCGCCCCATTGGCCTTGAACCCTGTGCACTGAGTGCCAGTGTTTCGATCGCTACGAATCGAAGGGCTTCCACTACCGGATACGGAGTGAGGACGAGCACAAGGAAAAAGCCATGCGACTGAGACCATCCACGTTAGACTTGGAATTGACCAACCAGCGACGTCGGGACTTGATACGAAAATGGGATACGCGGAGTGTGCCGAAACCCTTCTGCTCTAAACGAAGATCCGTAGCACGGTGGGAAGCTCGACAATACTTGTTGGATTGAATTTGGATTTTCCTTTTTTCGTGCCGTGCCCGCGCGCGCATTTTGCGACGCGCGAAAGCAATCGACTTACTTCATCGGGCCAACACGAGGGATTTCAGTTATGTCTGTGTCCCCACACTCAATTTTCCAAAAATCCTTGGCACACCCCATCTTGCTGTTTTTTTGGGCCTTCATTCCGCACCTTTCACACTCCGAACGAAAGATAGCGCAGAGCGTGAGGTTGCGCGTCACAGGTATTCCAACACTGCGACCCAGGCTCTGTTGTCTGTCTGTGTCGTGACCTTGCAAAACCATTTGCCTAGGAGCGCCAGGTTTTGAGATTCTGGGTCGAGAATGCCCAGGCCTCCTTCCGCCCGTGTTTTGGTGACCTTTGCCCATGCGCATTTGGTGATGAACCCATCCTCCCTTTCAGCGCCTGGCTTCCACAGGTACTTGGCTGCATCGGAGCGGATGGCCTTTAGCGTGGGTTTGGAGATTAGCATTACTACAGCAGTGTACCACAACTGTGCGAAAATCGCTGAAGTGATGAAGATGGCTTTTCCAAATAAGGAGACGCCAAGTGCAGTTCTGCATCGAAGCAATACAGACTTGGGCTTGGCCACAAGGATGGAGTCTTGATCGGGTCAAGCATCTCGCAGTGCCACTTGTATGTCCAAGTATCGCTCAAAGTCTTGGGCAGCAATCCTCTTCATTCCCCATGTCTGTCCCTACAGTTCATAACGTGAAGGCAAAAAGTTGGATGACTTATTCCGGTTGACTCGCGCTTCGGTAAGGATTGATTACGTGTCTCGGATGCTCTTGGTTTCCTTAAGTGATTCTGGCGTGGTTTCCTTAACTAGAAGAAGGTCGTCTGCGATAGCACCAGTCAACAGCTGATCTCCCTCTCCGAGGCTTAGTCCACGCAGTTGCGGAGATGCCCTTAATGAGTTAAGAAGTACTTCCATCTGGATTGCGAAAAGGAGGGAGGTCAATGGGTACCCTTGGCGCAGCGAGCACGTGAGGAGACGCCCTGTGCAGTTCTGCATCGAAGCAATACAGACTTGGGCTTGGCCACAAGGATGGAGTCTTGATCGGGTCTGGCATCTCGCAGTGCCGCTTGTATGCCCAGGTATCGCTCAGAATCTTAGGCAGCAATCCTCTTCATTCCCCATGTCAGTCCCTGCAGTTCATAACGTGAAGGCAAAAAGTTGGATGACTTATTCCAGTTGACCCGCGCTTCGGAAAGGATTGATTACGTGTCCAGGATCCTCTTGGTTTCCTCAAGTGATTCAGGCGTGGTTTCCGTAACTAGAAGAAGGTCGTCTACAATAGCACCAGTCAGCAGTTGATCTCCCTTGCCAGGGCTTAGTCCATGCAGTTGGGGAGATGCCCTTAATGAGTTAAGAAGTACTTCCATCTGGATTGTGAAAAGGAGGGAGGTTAATGGGCACCCTTGGCGCAACGAGCACGTGAGCGAGAATGTTGGTAAGACAAACCCGTTCACAATGACCGCTGCAGTTGAATCCGTGTATAGCTCCTCCACCCATCTGCGATACTTAGGACCGAAGTTCATGTGCTGGAGGGTG